ATCTCTACATAATTAATATTAAGTGTACAATTACGCTTTAAACATTTAAATATTTCTGTACGAATATTTTTTGATCCAATGATTGGATTTTCATGATCTTTAACTCATTGTATTCGTCTCATTGAGACGTTTCAAATGATAGCAAATATATATTGATTGGATTAATAATGACTAAATTATGGTATTTTTTATAATTTTTAACTTATTATTATGCTTGTTATATAAATCATAGAATTTTTGCAACAAGCATTTTCATATTCCCAAGAAATTCTGAAAAATATGAAATATACTAAGAGTTGTTTATTATGACTGTAAGTACAGAATAATGTTTAATTTATATTACATTAATATATAATGTTCAGCATAATTTGGCAAAATGAAAGTGTCCACATACTTTTGATCGCCCTCTGTATATACTGTATAAGTTAATTCAAAAAAAAAAAAGCTTTTCCTTTATATTGAAATTCAATATAAAATTATAATATGTATTTTAAATTTTCTGCCAGAATTTGAAATATAATAATTTGGCATTCAGCCATCCAGTTCATATGATTTTGGAATACTCTTTCAAACTAGTTTAAAAACTGTATGGATCCAATTATTAAAAGGCACTCTAAAGCTCTGGTCAGAATTAAACCATAATGTTGGCCGAAATTAACCGAAATTACAATGCGGTTTTACTATGCCACCCGATAATCAACAAGGCGATTTTTTTCCTATAATTTTTCTATTACTGATACTACCAATATTACTGGAGATATCTTTATGAAGTCAAGGATGAAGCAGGGATGAAACCACAATTGCAAAACAAATATGCACTCTAAATTTTGGATCCCATTTCTTAGCATTAATTTGGGGACATTACAGTCTAGTAGCCATTTTGTAATATAACATCCAGGTGCATTATAGTCTACTTAGGTAATAGACTATATTTTACCCAAACAGACTATAACGTCCAGCTACGGAGTTATATTGATTGAGACGTTATAGTATATAAGACGTTATAGTATATATATACTATAACGTCTGCTATATTGAAATTTTTTAAAATTAAAATGATTTTTGACTATTATTACTTCAGTTATAATTTAAACAATACAATATTAAATCCGTATTTACCCTTTTTGGAAAGTACTTAATTATTGCACAGATTTGGATTTGATATTAAAAGTATATTAAATAGTCTCCTGCGGAGCCAGGATCAACCAATCAAAATTTGATTTATCCAATATAACAGTTATTCGGCACTTCGTGCCGAATAACTATTAATTATTTTTTTGACTTTAAAAACTTAAATTCTAATAAAGAAGATTTACAGAGTACATGTGATTCGGATCATAAATAAAAGGTTAACTATATTAAATTGTGATTATAATTGAATTTTTAATATAAAAAGAATATTTTATCACAAAAATTTGTAATTTGTAAATATTTCCCTTACGCAATTAACCTTTTTCCCTTACGCAATTAACTTTAAAAATTTTTATGATTGACAATATTTGACCTTTTTTTTTTATCCAAAATAATTGTAAATCATGATCTACTAGGTGATCAACTAGGCAACAAAGTTTCGGTCAACAAGAATAACCGGATCACAAATTCCAAGTTTGATATAGGGGGATTATCGTTGGGAAAAAAATGTGAATCAATTGACAAAGGTTGATTCACTTGATAAGAAGGTTTGATACACTTGATAAGAAAGGTTGATTCACTTGATAGATTTGATTCACTTGATAAGAAGCTTGATTCTCCCGATAAAAGGCTGAAAGCAGATTCCTTGATAAAAAAAAGTTGATTCTCCCGATAAAAGGCTGAAAGCAGATTCCTTGATAAAAAAAAGTTGATTCTCCCAATAAAAAGGCTGAAGTAATAAAAAAAAAAGTTGATCCTCCCGAGTAAAAAGGGTGAAGCAGATTCCTTGATAAAAAAAATTGATTCTCCTGATAAAAAGGTTGAAACAGATTCCTTGATGAAAAAAAGTTGATCCTCCCGAGTAAAAAGGGTGAAACAAATTTTTAAAGTCGATTCTCTCGATAAAATTGGTCAATTTCCCGGATAAAAGGTTGAGCCACTTAATAAAGTCGGTCAATTACCTCAATTCCCTGTATAAAAGGTTGATTTTCCTGATAAAATCGGTCAACTTCCTCAATTCATTGGATAAAATGTTGATTTCCCAAGATAAAAAAATGTTCCCTTGATAAAGGTTGATTTTATCGAAGGAATCTGTCAGAAATCAACCTTTTATCGAGGAATCTGAAGAAATTGGGGGAATTGGGGGAATTGACCAATTTTATCAGTGAAGGTTGTACTCCTCTGTAAAAACGGTCGACTCCTTCGGTAAAAGATTGTAAAAACCGTTGATGACTTTCGACAAGTTAAATAATTCCAACATTTATCAAAAAATATATATATATATATATTACATATATTATATAAAAATAAAATTTTTTTTAATTAAAAAACAATTTAATCGTTACAATGTTACAATGATACATACAATGATTATAATAATAATGAACCATTAAATTAGATCTTTTTTTTAAACAGGGGGTTACAGGGGTTACTTATTAATTCTTAACAAAAAAGGTTAAAAATTTAAAAAAGATTTTGCGATCAAATGATCTCGTGGGAATTGGTTTGGTTTACTGTTTTATATGTTACCTAAAAAAACTATTAAGAGATTTTTTTTTTATTTATTTACTTATATTTACAGATTAATAAGATTAATAATAATAAAAAAAAAAAAGTGTAATTTTCGCGTCATAAATCACTTTTTATGATTTTTTATGATTTTTTTATGAACAAGTTATTGCCAAGACTTAAAAAGTGGTTCAACCTGTCTTTTTACTTGTTATTCTTTAAGAATTTTATCTTTTTTTAACCTGTTATTTTTCCTGATATCATAAGAGAAAAATGTTTATTTATTTATTTACGGGCATGTTTTACAATTAAGCTTAAAACTAGTTTTTAAACCGGTTTTTATAATATATTCGGTTAATTAATAACGTCAATCTATCCGAGGAGTTATAGTTTTACCATTTCGAATATCCCAAAACATTGATGTTAAGTCAATCAATTACTCTAATTATTAAAATTGAGCCTTTTTTGTCTTTTTTTTTTAAAAAAAAAAAAGAAAGTTTTTTTTTTTTTT